CAAGCTTGAGGTCTCTCCTTAACGCTTTAAAAATTTAGAGTTGTGGGAGAAAGAGGTGCCTAAACTCGGGTCAGAGCTCCGTTGCGACTAACGGCGATGCCACGGCCGCATCGTGCACGGTGACCTAGCTAGTTGGAGTAGAGTAGAGTAGATAAACAGGAGTGACAACAGGGGGCGTGGCCTTGTGCGGGTGGACGATAGCTCTTGCACCAACAGATCTCGCTCTAGCAGTGGCGAAAGAGGGTAGGGGCGATGGGGGACGGGCAAGAGAGGGCTGGGACAATAACAGGGAGAGAAGGTTACGCTGAGGATACGTGAAGAGAAGAAAAGAGGACAGTAGAATTTTTATGTGTAATATATATGTGGGTCCTGTTGACCTACATAACTTTTTATTAGAAGAGAGAAAGATCTCTTCACATATAGGTCACAACTTAAGATTAAGGTTGGCCACACACATTACGGGATACTCTAAAAGATGTCTAGAATTTGTAAGTGTTTAGTGAAAACACATGCGAAATAATTGTGTGTTGCATGTGTGTACCACATGGCACAAAGCATATGTGTCATTTTTTTAATGTGAAAAAACATTTAGTGCTCAACTGTTTTACTTGGCAAGTGGGATTACATAATTTGTCGTTTTTATATATAAAGACCGCGCCCGATTGACACTGTGTATGTACTTTTCAACACATCCAACACAAAAGTGAACTCACTTGACCTAAGTGACTGACTAAAATATCTAGAAAAGTTAACCTTATCTAACCCACTTTTTCACGAGATCTCGACCACGCTAAGAGCACGAGAACTCGTGAGAACTATGAACATAATTTCACATTCTCTTTTTAAGGAATCTTTGAGGACCCACCAAACTGCCCCTTTCTTCCCACAAACATCACTGTCTCGATAAGCAAGAGGCTTCGTCTCAAGTCAACTTAGACCAGAGGAGACCTTGACTCACGCGGGCCGCGGCGCTGGGCTGCCGGTTCGCCGCGGCCGGAGCTGCACATGGGACGCGATCGCTGCCGGCCGCCGGCCGCCGCAGAGGATCCGATCGACTCGCCGCCGGCCTTGCATGAACGCCTCGGCCTAGCTTGCTCCGTCGACCCCCTGCATCGGCGTAGCAGTCGCGTGCCGATGCCGATGCCAACGCGTAGAGACGCTTCGTTCGTTGGCTTTGTTCTGTTGCGAGGAGAGAAGAGAGTGGCCAACGGCGGCAGGGGATCGGAGGGGAGCGCGCAAAGATTATTCTCTCGTGCGCAGCAGAGAAGACACGGTCGGACTGTCGGAGGGTAAGAGCCTAAGAGGGGGGCATCGCCTGGCATATTCGCTCTGGGTATTGGATATTCCTTCCCCCAAACGGAATAATGCTTCGAATCTTCTGTGGCCTGGCCCGTATGGTGACCTGGCTTTGGACTTGGTGCATGTGAAGCCTCGAATATGTCAAGCGTACCCCAGCGGCTTATTTTGCATCGGATCTTCTTTGGACATTCTCTACAGTTCAATAGTTCATATAGTACACTGAAATTTTCGCTACGTACAATAGAACACAGGGTAATGTTGTCATGGCTAGTATCGCCCATAAATTCAAGCGGAGGCTAGTTTGCCTACAGATTGTGGTGGTAAATTCTTCAAAAAAAACGCAGCAGAAAAGTAGCTCTGCCTTGATACATCATCTCATCTCGCGTTGAAGATCGAAGTAGAAACGCGTGGCAATCCAAATAATAAAGGTCAATAGGTACGTGCATCATTGATGGGATTGGACCATGTGGGAGAGAGGGCTGGGAGAGAGAAGGTTATGTTGAGGACACGAGAAGAGAAGAAAAGAGGACACTAGAATTTTTATGTGTAATATATATGTGGGTCATGTCGACCTACATAATTTTTTATTATAAGAGAGAAAGATCTCTTCACATATAGGTCACAACTTAAGACTAAGGCTGGCTACACACATCACGGGATACTCTAAAAGATGTCTAGAATTTGTAAGTGTATAGTGAAAACATATGCGAAATAATTGTGTGTTGCATGTGTGTACCATAGGACACAAAGCATATGTGTCATTTTTTACAAACTGTTCAACATTAGTTTTTAGCGAGGGCTTATCGGTCGTGATCATGTTTTTTTTCTCACAACAAAACCAAGACCAAAGTAGGACTTATCGGTCAAAAATCAACCAATGAAGGTGTGTTAATGTGAAAGACCATTTAGTGCTCAACCGTTTTACTTGGCAAGTGGGATTACATAATTTGTCATTTTTATATATAAAGACAGCGCGGATTGACACTGTGCATGTACTTTTCAGCACATCCAACACAAAAAGTGAACTCACTTGACCTAAGTGACTGACTAAAGTATCCAAGAAAGTTGACCCTATCTAACCCACTTTTTCGCCGAGATCTCGAACACGCTAAGAGCACGAGAACTCGTGAGAACTATGAACAGTAATTTCACATTCCCTTTTTAAGGAATCTTTGAGAGCCCACCAAACTGGCCCTTTCATACCACAAACATCACTGTCTCGATAAGCTAGAGTCTGCGTCTCAAGTCAACTTGACCAGAGGAGACCTTGACTCACGCGGGCCGCCGCGCCGGGCTGCCGGTTCGCCGCGGCCGGAGCTGCACGTGGGACGCGATCGCCGCCGGCCTTGCATGAACGCCTCTGCCTAGCTTGCTCCGTCGACCCCCGGCATCGGCATAGCAGTCGCGAGCCGATGCCGATGCGTGGAGACGCTTGGTTCGTTGGCTTTGTTCTGTTGCGAGGAGAGAAGAGAGTGGGCAACGGCGGCAGGGGATCGGAGGGGAGCGCGCAAAGACTATTCTCTCGTGCACAGCAGAGAAGACACGGTCGGACCGTCGGAGGGAAAGAGGGGGCATCGCCTGGCATATCCGCTCTGGGTATTGGATATTCCTTCCCCCAAACGGAATAATGCTTGGAATCTTCCGCGGCCTGGCCCGTATTACCTGGCTTTGGACTTGGTGCATGTGAAGCCTCGAATATGTCAAGCGTACCCAGCGGCTTGCCCTATCTTATTTTGCATCGGGTCTTCTTTGGACATTCTCTACAGTTCAATAGTTCATATAGTACACTGAAATTTTCGCTACGTACAATAGAACACAGGGTAATGTTGTCATGGCTAGTATCGCCCACAAATTCAAGCGGAGGCTAGTTTGCCTACAGATTGTGGTGGTAAATTCTTCAAAAAAAAAAACGTAGCAGAAAAGTAGCTCTGCCTTGATACATCATCTCATCTCGCGTTGAAGATCGAAGTAGAAACGCGTGGCAATCCAAATAATAAAGGTCAATAGGTACGTGCATCATTGATGGCATTGGACCATGTGGGAGAGTTGCACACGGAATGAAGTTTTGATCTGCTCAACTCTGCCTGATTAAGAAATGCGTCTTGTCGTATTAACTCAAACAATAATGCAGTCCATTATTTATGTAAGTGCCAAGAAATGAAGTAAATGGTGACAGTGACGTGCGAGGAGTAGGGTGTCTCGCGGCGATATTCCGTGGACGATATTTTGTGGTAACCTTCGGATTTGAATCAGAGTGTTGGTTTAAGAATAGGATATCCCATAGAAGCGTTCGACATTGTTGTGTCTACAACGTGTAGAATGGCATTATTCTAAGTCGTCTCCCCAAGTTGGGGCTTGCAAGCTAATAAAGCCAACCAACTAAAAACTAAGAAACCAGTAAACCTCTTTCCTTTAGTAGCTGGTTTTGCACATTGGACCAAGACCACAATACGCCATTTCTTAATGAGCAAGGACATACAGGGACAACGATGGATCCTTTTAATTGAGATTACCTAGTTTTTAAAATACTTATTTGTATATTTCTATATTAGCCTTGGGTCAAAAAAATATCTGCATTGACATTTAGTTGATAGCATGTTTTGCTGAGCTAAAACAAGAAGCGTTCTCACAAAAATAAAAACAAGGGCATGTTTGGTTCGTGACCAGAATGTGCCATGCCCCAGGTTAATCATGCCACAGTTTTTCTGGTAGCTGTTTGGTTCGCTGCCACAGTTACAACTGCCACACTTTCTTAGCACACTGTCCCACATGTCATAGACTTATTTTCTTGCCAAACTTTGTCACAAGTGTGGCTTCAATTTTCCTCGCCGAACTTTCTCTGGCAGTCACAGTTTGTCATAGACTTATTTTCTTCCAAACTTTGCCACAAGTGTGGCTTCAATTTTCCTCGCCGAACTTTCTCTGGCAGTCACAGTTTGCCAAAGGTTTGACATGGCAAACTACGGCACCAACCAATCAGGCCCCAAATCTCTAACCAATTATATCTATAAATTGAAACATGTATCATGAGCCAATAAGCGAACAACACATAACGCATGACATTGCTGTCTCGAAAGTCGAAAAGTCCAAACATCATATTGTATCAAAATTCATGACGAAAAGCAAAAGGGATGTTGGGACCTACAAAAAGTTCGAAGTCCAGGATCAATAGAAAATACTAGTGCCTCCAATCTTATTTTCTTTTTGTCTAAAAACAGGTCATAATTTTCTTTTTTTTTTTATATAAAACTTTGGATGCAAGTCTTCAACGTTTTTTTTTATAACTGCAAGTCTTCATCATTGTGTGCTCAGGTCCTTCGTGCGCCTAAATAATTGGGGAGTCACCTTATCAATTATAGCCCACAAATGACGTCGCCATTTAATTTGTACGCCCTTTGGGTGCCCCTACCATTTTGGTCCTACTCCGTAGTACCAAACTGAACTCATCCAAAGTGACGAAGCCGCGCGTCACGAATAAAATCGCCACGGCCGCGCGAGATATCGTCGTCCACTCGTCCGGAATATTCTGAGCTTCCCATCACCACCCCGCATATCCTCCGTTTGTCTTCGTCCTCCTCTGCATCCGCCCCCTATTTATCTCTCCTCTGCCCGCCTCTCAACCGCACCCACACTCCCAATTCCACCACGAATCCTCCACCACGCACTCCGATCGAATTCTGGTTCCTCCTCACAAAATCACAATGAAGTTCGGCAAGAGCCTGAACAACCAGATCGTGGAGACGCTCCCGGACTGGCGCGACAAGTTCCTGTCCTACAAGGACCTCAAGAAGCGGCTCAAGCAAATCGGCTCCGGCGCCGGCGCCGGCGAGCGGCGGAGCAAGCGCCAGCGCGTGGGGGACGGCGGCGGCGGCTCCTCACCGGCGATGACCCCGGAGGAGGCCGGCTTTGTCGCCCTCCTCGACGCCGAGCTCGATAAGTTTAACGCCTTCTTCCTCGAGAAGGAGGAGGACTACGTCATCCGGCTGAAGGTAATTGCTTGACCGCAGAGGATCGATTCCTTGATCCAATTGCCCCCTCTCTCTCTAGGCGAATATTGGTCTGATTCCTGTGTGGGTCGTCGGATTGAGGGGACGCAGGAGTTACAGGACAGGGTGGTGAGCGCCGCGGAGACGGGGTCGGCGGAGGAGCTGCTGCGGGTGCGGAAGGAGATCGTCGACTTCCACGGCGAGATGGTCCTGCTCGAGAACTACAGCGCGCTCAACTACACCGGTAAGCACGCGCTCCCCTGCCGCACCCTGTTCTCGTTACCACTTGTCATGTTAGGTTAGAATAATAATTGATTGAGATCTGCAACAGTGTAGTCCCCTTACAACGTACGACGGTAGGGAGTATTGTATGGTATCGTATGACACATTATTTTATATACGATTTTAAAATTGATCCGGTCAATCTATTTTATAATATATGTTAAATATTATTAGTTGATTTGACAGTAGCTTGACCTAATAAGTTTGAGATGTGCCTCATAGGATACCTGAACTATAGATTTAAAGTCACCTTAGAAAGTCACGGACAAAATGTTCTACACGACTACAAATTTGAACTGCATTGTTCATTTTGTAAATGTCACCATTCTCTCCTCGTGCCAAAAGGTCCTGACTGTCTAGTTTTTGCATTGAATTCAAACAGATTGGTCATACTCATCAATGCACATAAGTATCACAATTTTCCAAATTTGTTGAACTTCCCGTTTTACTTGCAAGGCTAGAGTACTAGTGAAACATGAAAACTTCCACCACCGTGGGTCATGTGCTAAAAGTGTGGTTTCATTAGACTGTGGGACGATAATGAAAAGTCTTTATTCACCACTATGTGTCACGTGCTATAAGTGTGGTTCCCACAAAACTTTGTGGAACGATGTCAATGACTCAAATCAACTTAAAAATATTTAAGACTAGCAAATTTAAGGACTAATGGACTAATGACACTATTTGACTCTTTTAGCTAGACATGGAATAACCATTTATCTTAATTTTTTGAAATAACCATTTTTTCTTGTGTTATGCATAATGTTTTCTCAATGAAAAAACTCTTTGTTACTCCTATGTTGAACCTTTTCTCTTCGGTGTCATGCATAATCAGCTTTTCGCATCGAAAGTGAAACTGAAGTACTGGACTAAAGTTGTAGCTTTGAGCCTTTGACCATACTGTACTTGAACGTTCTATTAAAATTAGGTCTTAACATTGGAGCTCCGAAGATGCACATCTTGGTGCTTTCAGTACACTTAAATGAATGTTTCATGTTTTACTAAGATATATTATTTTCTGGTTTTATGTACTTATATACACTTTCGTGTACAATAACTGAAGTGGAAGATACCTCTATCTGGAAAAAAGTTATGTCTGCAAAATTGTTCCCTTTTCTTGATAAAGAATTGGTTTGGTATTCTGGATTATGGTCTAGAACACATTTTGGTTATATACATGTAAAATATCAAAATTCATTTTAGCTATTTAAAGAAGTTCTAGTAAGCTTTCTAATTCGTAGAAGTTAGGTGGGTTTACAGCCATGTTCTTTACACATATCGTCTTGGCAGATTTCCATTTTTCTCTCCTTAATAAGGTGCAACAATGGATGATTCTGTTGGTAATATTAGTAGTAGTGAACTTGAACAAAGAAAAAGCTCCTTATTAGTTTTAGCTGCTCGGCCGGTTCGTGCTATTGCCAATTGCGCTTGTGACTGACAGAGTTATGCTCTGTTTAACCAGGACTGGTCAAGATCCTCAAGAAGTACGACAAGAGGACCGGCGCACTGATCCGCCTGCCCTTCATCCAGAACGTAATGCTGGAGCCGTTCTGCGCTACTGACGTCCTGTACAAGCTCGTCAAGGAGTGCGAGGAGATGCTGGACCAGCTCCTGCCGCGAAACCAGCGGTCTGTGCCATGCGAAGACGACGGGAAAGAAGGCAGCGACAGCGACAACAAGCCGGCGAAGCCCAGCGCCTCGCTGGCCAACGGCAATGGCACTGGGGACATGGAGCTGGAGGAAATCGAGGACATGGAAAGCATGTACATGAAGAGCACGGTGGCCGCACTCAGGGCGCTCAAGGAGATAAGGAGCGGGAGCTCCACAGTGAGCGCATTCTCCCTGCCGCCACTACGGTGAGGGCCGAACTCGCTGCCGCCGTTGCGGATGACGGGGGTGATTGACATGTTGTGCTGTGCATACAACTTGCTTCTAATCCTTGCACTGCTGCTCATCCGTGCCTCGTGGGCTCGTGGCTTGTGCTCAAAGAAGATTTGCCACTTCGTTGCTGTGTCATGTACACAATGTTTGCTTCATACATAACGTCGAAGTGTTGTAAAATTAGGTTAAAGAAAGCGGAAATAGTCTGGTGAGGGCGTTCGTCGAATGCCTCCCGATCCGGACGCCTTCCAAGGCCTTCGGACCGACCCAACAGGCCTGTTGTCGTCTATCTTTGTTCCTTCACTAATAAAAAAAATACAGAGCGACATTTTCCGTCGCTCGCCCGCTCCCCTGCTCTACTTAGCTTTGTCGTCGATCGCTGTTGTTCGAGCTTTCCCCACCGCCGGGTGCCGCCGGCCGCCCCATTGAGGTCACGGTGACGGCGCTGCAGCGCCACCACAGCGCAAGCTCAGCAGGCCCTAGCGCTGCCCCTCCTGCCTCGCCTACTTAGCTTTGTCGGAGGAGGCCAGGCTGCATGTTTGCCAGTACATTTCAAATGTTTCATATTGCAAGTGTTTCATACGGTTGCTGCAAAAGTAGATCGGTATGTTGCATATGTTTAATGGTTGTACACATATGTTGCAAGAGTTTTTTCCAATGTTTCATCTGTTTTTCATACGTATGTTGCAAGTGTGTTTATCTGGATGTTGCATATGTTTCAGACATATGTTGCAAGTGTTTTATCTGAATGTTGCGTATGTTTGCAATGTTTTCAAGTGTTTTTTAGGTGTTTCAGACGTATGTTTTAAGTGTTTTATCTATCTTTTTTAGATGTTGCAAGTGTTGCATCTGGATGTTTCAAAAGTAGGTCGAGTGTTGCACATGCGATGCACGTGGCAAGCGGGAGGGGCGCGAGCGGTCCCCGTGTGGGTGCGTGGGGTGGGCGGCGTGGGCTCTCGCGTGGGCGCGGTTGACGCAAGTGCGGGCGTCCGTCAGGACATCCGGACGCTAGCAGTGCCATAAAGAAAGTAACTATACTTCCATAAGTCACAAATGTATATGTCACCACCACTGGGTATAAATTCTGTTGTAGTACACTAGTACATGAACAACTTTTCCATATTACTCTCTCCATGTCAAATTATAAGACATTTCAGCTTTAAATACATGTTTAGAAAAGCCAAAGCACCTTATAATTTGGAATGGCGACAGTAGATTCTTAGATTAGAGTATTGTAAACTCGCGTTATGAGGCCACGCCGCTAGGATACTTAGAGCAAGTATAATAACAGGTTGAATACTGAGGTGGAGGAGAGAAGAGAGATGAGAGAGGAGAAGCGGGTTGTAAACTTGCAATCATCTTACACACAAGAACTAAGAAACTTTATGAGAGAGACAAGTGGGCCATGTATTGATGATGAAGAGCTAACTACTATATAAGTGGGCTAAGAGATAGACTAAAAAGATCCTTACAGTCGGCTGTATTATTAGCCTTGCTCTTAGGCCAAAGTTGGTTCACTATTTCAGAATTTACTTTTCGCTTCTTTTTTAAGATGATAGAAAAACAGAAACAATCTGTATTCTTATTTTTAAAGAATTGAAAGCATTATCCCCTAATTTGGTTTTAGTGATCAATAATGACATTATTTTTTACTATAATCTCATTGGATTGCTTTAAAGGATATTAGTGAAAAATAAAGATGATAAGTGTTGCTCGTTGGAAGATGTACTCCCTCCGTCCAAAAATGATACTCTAGTTTTTGTTCTAGGTCATATTATTTTCATTCTGATATCCCAAAATAAATGATAGTCTAGCTTTGTTCTAAGTTAAATAATTTTAATTTTGATCAAGTTTAGAGAAGATTATTGACATTTATGAAACCAAATAGTACTTCATGAAACTCTTTAGTGACAAATAAAGTTACTAAGAGTAAAAATGCACAAGGGTTCCATTAACTTTTGATAGGGTTTCATTAAGTTTAGAGAGGATGTCATCTAGGTTTATCAACTCTCAAACTATATTTTGAGTTTCTAAACTGTCCTTTGTTTGGCCCATCCGACATGGCATGTGCATTCAACTGCCAGTGTGGCAGACGGACGTATAAAGTGCAATTAGCCCCCCTCATCATACCTCCCTCTCTCCCTGGCCTCCTGTGCCACCACCACCACGACGATGTCACCTGCCACGCTGCCCGTGCCTCTCTCGCACTCGCTGGCAACCCTGCCCTCTAGCGACCTCCAAGGCTGCCCATACCTCTCTTGCTTCTGCTCACGCTTACCAGCGCCCCCCTGAAAGCCCTAGTTTGGTTTTGGTAATTGAGTGCTAACCATGCGGACTAATGCTTCATTGATTTTGATTAGTTAGGATCCACTTGATGGTGATGAGCAAGACATAGGAGTGATGGAGATCAAGATCACATACATGCAAGTGTTCATCAAATGGAGAGAAGATGAAGCAAAAGCAAACCACAAGGCAAAGTTATATGTTAGGGTTGTGCTTTTGCCAACCAAGATGCAATATAGTGCACAATTAGGTTTAGGATAGATAGTACTACTATAAAGAGTAAAAATCTTTAGTTGCAATGGTTATCTAGTGTCACTAAGTGAGTTTTATTTGCATATGCATTACGCCTACTGACGTGGTGAGGTGCAAGAGAAAACCCTTTTGAAAACGTTTGTAAAATGCTAAATCACTTGCACAAGTTGTTGGAACACTTGAGAAGTTGGCACCTTTGAAAAAGGGTGAGAAAACAAGGTGTTTGGGGTGTTCTGGTGGGTACCGGATCATTCCGGTGGTGCCCCACTGAAAGCACCAGATCAAGTGTTGCCCAGTAAAGGCTGAACAGAGGCTAGGTTAAGTAGCCAGTGCTCAACCCTAAGAACCACCAGATGATGCGCTTACACTATTCCTAATGCGGGAGATTTGAACAGAGACACGAGAGTGTTTGATGCTAGGCACCGGATCAATATAATTGGCCAAAAATCGGTTCTAGAACCTTACCGGGCGACACCGGATTAGTCTGGTGGTTAGGGTTGGCCTAACACCGGACTATGAGTTACAAGGTTTGGACCGTTGGAGTTAATGGCTAGTATCTGAAGTCGATCATTGGGGAAGGCACCAGATTAGTTCGGCGCTGCCGTTTGCGAGGCACCTGATCGTCCGGTGCTCCCGACTTCTGTGCATCTTGGGCATAACGGCTAGTTGTCTTGTGGGCTCTATAAATACTAGTGTGGCCGACTCTTTTGAGCCTCTTGGCATGCGCTGATATTAGTGCATACATAAAGCTCAAGCAGACACTTCAACTCACTTGCTACATGCGATTGGGGAACCTTCAATGGAGCAAGGGAGGTTTGTCCACGATCTGGTGAGTGAGTGAATGCTACATGCGACAGTTGGAGAAGGGGAGAGGGTATAAATACCCCTCCCCACTTTTTAAACGGTACAGGTTAAATGCAGAAGTTTCGTACTCAACCACATAACTTCCACGCTCAGACGCGGAACTTCCGTCCGTGCAACTTCCACGAAGGCCAGAAAGAATAGGAGTTGGGCTTTTTTGGCTTTGGTTTGGCTTGGGGCTTTGTTGTTTTTGTGAATAAGTAAAGAGCACATGATTCCCTTTAAGCTTGCCATTTGTGTCCCTCTTGACGGTACAACTTTTACTATATTCAAATTCAAAATAGAAACATAAAGTAGTCTTCAATCGTCAACACACCACAATGATTTGAATTGGGGGGTCTCCTTGTGTTGTCATGTTCCCAAGTACACTTATGATCTGTCCATAACTCACAAATATCATTAGATCCTTAATTACATCGTCATCAATGCGTCAAAACTCACTTAGGGCCCTAGATGCACTTTCAGCAACTTCACGCACGGCCGTCGTAGTCAAGAGCACGAGCACGTGTCGCGCCCACTCTGTAAATAGTATCAGAGATTTAATATCTATATCATATTCGCATCCAAATACTAAAATATATATATATATATATATACTAGCTATATGATTACATCTTATATCAGCACACTCGACGCTCACCTTACTACTCTCCCTTAACGTGTGGAAGACAGGGAGGATGACCGCATAGAAGTTAGACAAACACAAGAATTTTCTTGCAAAAAAACATACACGCTGGTTGCACAGTGTACATGCCACATTAGATCTAAGGCAAAACGACAAAAAAAATGCAATTTGAGAGTTTATGTTACTAGAACCCTCAAAAATCAATGGACCCTGGGGCATTTTACTCTAAAAAATGGCATGTGACATACAGCTCACCGCCTCAGGGCAGTATAGAGAGCTTACACAACAATGTTTTACATCAACAAATCTAGCGAGGTGTAGCTATCCTAAGAAACATGTATATTGTACATTGTACACGCTACGGGCTTCATAGGGTCATGGTTCTGATGGTCATCTCCTTAAGTGTAGTAACAGATCTGTGGAACAACTTCAGACTACGTCCAACTTTGTCCTGCAGGGCCAATAAAAAGAAGGTTTTAATACTCCAGACCAAATTAATCATCATAATCTATGTGAAAGCATCTTTGCTCTTTTAAATTTATGTTTAGCTATTGAACAACCAAATCCATATACTTCGATTTCTTGTTAGTAGTGTAGCAGCATATCCCAGCATTAGACGTCTAATTTCTAGGTGCCAAGAGTAAGAACACCATGGTAGCCACCTAAAAGCCCTAGTATATAGTACATATATGAGCTTTACCTCTTTCAAATGCTCTAGTCTCTCCAGCACAGGAAGGAGTTCATCAGAAAATGAAGAAAGACCTTTTGCAGAAGCACTGCAAAAACAGAGAAAATTGTTGACTTTTCTAATGTAAGAACAGAATAGTGAGCTATAAACCTTTAGTTAAACTGATAAGCATTCTTACTCGTCCTGAAAATGAATAAGGAGAATAGTAACGGCACATTCCGTTATTTGGAGTAGAAGGGTTATAAGCTGGTCTCGGTTGCCAGCCATGCAACACAAATCTATCATTGCAATGTACCTCCTGCAAATAAATAAATAAATAAACTGTTACAGCACATATTGTTGAAGGATTAGCTAGACAAGATCTACCAGCGTCAGAACAAAAATAATTGAGAAGATTCTGAGACAAAAATAAGTGCTTACCTCTTACGGATGTTATCATTGGGAGAGATGCAATCTTGCTTCATGCATACTTTTATTATCTCATCAACCTCCTTTCTGGACAACTCATTCAAGTCACGGATCTAGATAACAAACTCAGACAAGTTAGCTTTAGTTATTGCAGGAAAAGTATGAACTACTACAGAATTCCAGATAATAGTGAACATTTCACTCAACTCCATATCTGTATTTCGAGTTCATGTTGCCATGCATAACTTATCTTCTCCATAATTTAACCCGTTAAAACAAAATTCACTTCAAGTAAATTTGTGACCATGCAGGTCAGAAACACCAATACCTTGTTTAATAGCATATATTTTTCTTCGCCTACTCTTTCCAGGGCAAGTGTTACTGAATTCAGAAGATCAGAAACCATTTGTAGTGTTGGGTGCTGCTGATCACTATTATGGCCATACGAAACCTGCAAATTCAAGGTGTTGCAAATACAGTCAGTGTCAAAAGATTTGGACATAAGCTAATCCCTCTGCCCCTCATTTGTGCTGCCTGATTTTCTTTTAAGAAAAACTCAACTTGCAACAACCACATTTTTCTTAGCAGAGAGAAGGTTTCAAGTATTACTCACTTGAAATCGCATGTTCTTCTTTGTAGCCAGAACATAAAGATAAGAGACAAGGCTGAAGCAAAGACCAAATGCTATCAATTCTGACTTATGATTCTGGTAGCAGCATGTAGAAGTATTAGAAAAGTTATATGTGTGCATAAAGCCATCATTACAAGATAACTATTATAAAGAGGACTAGCTCACCTCAATCATGTTTGGTGATTGCATAAAATTTAGAGACCCAAAGTCGAGGCTAAAAAGAGAATGCATCAAGGAAAATAGATCTTGAATATAGCTGCATTCCTCATTTTCCTCATACGCCCAAACCTACAAAGTTGTTAGCACCTCTGAACCTCTACAGCAGATTACAAGTGGCCAAAATCAAATACAAAGTGAATAGCAAACCTTGCTGAGAATAGAAACCGCCATGCTAAGCTGTTCCAATGTGAGCAAATTAGCTCCAGTCATGTTCTCCCTTAAAATGCTATTAAAAACCGACTGATGCTGCTTCGCGAAGTCCACTATCTCTCGTACAATCTTGTTCTTCACCTGAATCAAGAGTTAAACTTTATAAGGGACATTAATATGGAAAATTCACAGAAAAACTAAGGACAGATGCATCGTGTAAAATTCATCACCAAGTAAGGCAACAAAGGTGATGTGATTCCTAAGGCAAGATTCTCAAAATTTCAAACTTCACAGCAGTTAGGTTATGTAGCATCCAGCTATCAAAACTCCACATATATACCAGATACAGTTTCCTCTTAGTTGACAGTACATTGTAAAGTTAAATTACATGTACCATTGACCCAGTAACAAACCACAGATACCAATTTAATTCATTGATGTTTTTTTCAAATTTATCACAATAAAATTCTACGATGATTGTAATCTAACACTCAGTTCAGTTAGGAGAAAAACCAATAATGTTTAGCAAACGCCCTACATACATATGTCAGGCAAAAAATCTGGATATTCAAAATAAGCTAACCTCCAGAAAATCAGCCGAGTCCACAAGCGATGTAAAAGAGGTGACTATTCGCAGTACAGGTGTAATAAGTGACCTCTTCTTGTCAATTTCACCAGTCCGTTCATTTATGATTTTGGAGATTGCCCTTGGATTGCCCTAACAATATACAAAACTGTAAGTGTGAATTCATAAACCATATATAGTTATATTTGGGAGCAAGTGGCACCTTTTTCTGCCCACCCATGAGGTTGCATGATGAAAGATTTTGTAAAGCACCCATGGACAACAGAATCTGAGCGCCATGTTTGCCATAATGATGACTTATTCTCAGCAGTAATGAAAACTGAGCATCAACAGTGCAAAACCGCTGTGAAGATTCCGATGCCAATGACGAATCCTGGAAAATATCCAGAAAACTGATGACACAACATATCTGGGTAAAATTCCAGACACGAAGAGGGGCAGGATGAATAGATTATCACAACAAAACCTGCATGAGGCATTTTCTAGACAAACCATTTTCATTTTCAAAGTGATTCATAGCTCATCTTTAGCATATATAATGTCTACTACAAGAGGAAAATGATACATGGTTCAGGGTTCATAAAACATGACAGAAGTTTGTGCACCGCCTTTCATCATAAAAAAACAGAGAATAACTAGAGTTCCAGAAATTATGAATATTCTCGAATACAGTTCCAAAACAAATATCAATCAATTTGGAGCAAGTTCAGATATCCAAATACCTTGTATAGCGGCAAAATGTTAATGTAACTTTAGCCCCATATATCCAACTAAACTTAAACACACAATTCATTGTTCAACATATAAAGAAATAAAAGACACATTAATTTGAAAAGATTGTGCCCAAGCAGTTAGTGCTAAATAAAGTATGCACAATGCTGTACATATGTGAATAGCTCAGATAATACGGCAATGGAAAAGGATGATACCATATTTGCATCTATACTGTTTGCTGTGAAAACAAACACAAACAAGAATGGCATGCTATCAAATAGGATATTAAATCAATACAAAAAAAAAATCTATTCTAAATAAACTGAGAAAATTGTCCATTATAAATCCCTTCTTGAAGTTGAAACAAGAAAAGCAAAACCAGCAAGCTTGGCAATTAGGTAGATGCATTGAAAATCCTTTAGTTTTCCAGAACGTCCTACCCTCTCTTCCCATCTAAAGGATTGGCAGTTCCCCCTGCGACACCTTAGCATGCACTATCCAACTCTTACCAGGTCACCAATGTAAGTTACAGTTCTCCTATTTTCACATTACCCACCCGAGCATGCATAAAAAGAAAGAGTCCACAGAGTCATTTGTTTTCAAGAAAATCAGTAAATATGAAAGTGGCGTGAATGCATGATAGCTAAAGCCTCTAACTAGGACAGCAGATTTCAAAATGGAAAAAAAAACAAGATAGAGTAGTGGCAATACATACCTTTGACAAATAGTTTGTAACATCACTCAGACATGATCTAAGAATCCCTCGACTTTGAAGTTGATTTAAGAAATACTTTTCATGGTCAATACTAATTAATGCATCAAGAACATAAAAGGAAATTGCTTTCCCAGCTTCACTACCATGGACAGCATCCTTAGTAACCTGTAACAAGAATACAAAGAATGAACGGAGTATCAGATTACCTGTATGGTCAACCATTTGACTGGTTTGTTTAATCATCTTCAAACCCCAACAAGATGTGATGTTATAGTTGGTCAAAAGCACTAAGAGTATGGGTGACCAAAGAGCCAGCCCATCTATCTTTCACATCAAGAGATAAGGATTAGGAAACAGATTGGATCAGTTGGTTTTTAGGACAATTATTAAGTTATTAGCTGCCTGCTCTATATATACAGAGGCATGGCGCCATAGCGGTCATTGGGAATCGAGCAATCAATGAAGAATTAGTCCCAAGTATTCCCAATAGTCTAGTCTTCCTCCAAGCCAATTATGCCCAGCTATCTTCCTGGCAGTGTTATCCCTAATGATCTTATACTTTGCCTTGGGATCTCAGAAATTATAAGTGGGAACGTTTGATGATTGAGAACCAGCTAGCTGATAGAATGAAGAGTCAGTCAATTACAAATTAAAAATGGAATTCGGCAAAAATAAACACAATAACATTGGAACTACTGTGACAAAATATATCCAGATACAAATCTCGCATGCAAATATACAACAGATGTCCCTTTGAGTTCCCTTAGCACCATATCCAAACAAAACTATCAACTGCCTATTATAGTTCTACTTTAACAATATTGTTAAGAGTATATTCGGTACGTAGGATACTGTAACCTAGTACTACCATATGTGTCGGGGGAGGTGTCTTGTCTCCCAAGTCTCTGTACTCTATATATACCGCTTGAGAGGCTCAATGCATTATACCAAATCCTTCCTGCTTTCAGATATGATACACAGCTCTAATGTGTATTCAAGTTTATTTTACTATCACAGCATGGCAAGTATTTAGAATAAAGCGTGTCAACAAAGTAGGCAGTAACTCATTCCTGGATTAAGTGCCTATGGAGTTAAAAGAATAAATGTACTGGAATCGGCAGTGATGTAAAAGAAACTGATAGGGACCAGAAGCTATCTTTAGTACAATGTTCAGAATCATATTGCACTACAAAATAAAAATGTGATGTAACACACAGTCACACACATGTTTTTTACTGATTTGTATAACAGCTATGGTTTTGTTCTAGGAATGCTCAGTTTTCATATCCTTAATTTCTATGCTCGTCAAGAGACGTAAAACCTTTTAATTATACATGAATACCTTTTGTTGTTTATCTCATATTGTTACTTTATTAGGGTCATCAATTGCTGCTAAAATTTGGATATTTTTTTATGGTAGTTCCATACTGTAACCAGTGTTAGGTTGGCGTGTTAAAGGTGATGACAGGCTGAGTTACTGATATCACCAATCCATGCCACCAGGCAGACATGCTAACGATTTACAGTGAATTATGTTTCCCTTGCACAAACACAAACATATTAAAAATATGCGTCACATGAACAGAATGACATACCAAATCGATGATAGCTTGAGCTTCCTTCCTTATGATGGAAAAGTTGGCATGTGCTAATTCATTGTGCTCCTTGAGAACCTTTAGAAGGACAAAGAACTATCAGGCAATAGTCACTATATAAAAGGAAGTAAGGTAATGCAACAGAGATGGACCTTTTGAAGAGTGATGTCCTCATCATCACCCTCTTGCTCCTCCAGTAGCAAGAACCGAAGAACAGATGGAGGGACATCAGACTCAAGAATGCTACTACAATACTGAAAATAACTCAGTAGTAATGCATATTGCCTGCAGAGTGCGACTGAAGGTCAGTATTCACAGAAGGTGAAGAAGAACATTGAAACAAGGAGTCGGTTAGTGGCGCTAACAGTCACCAACTACATCTACATTACCGTCTTCTCAAGGTTTCAGATGATTCATTTCTTAGCGTTGCCATCACAAGCTTGAATAGCAATGAGTTACAAGCTGCATTTGGTAGCTGCTTTGACGAAATAACGTCAAGGCAAGTAACTGCATCAGAATCTGTACCAGCTGGGCATATGAATCTTTCATCCCGCAGTTTAGCCATACAGGTCAACGATACCTTAAAATGACCACCCAAATAAGTTCAGAACAGGTACACAAGGTGTGGTACAAGACTAGGAGAATGGAATTTAACAAATAAGAACAAGCTTCTTACATTCGTTAAAACATATGCCATTTTCACTGAACAATCTGGAGATGTCGTGGCATTCAATGAAGCATTAAGCAGCCTGCATAAATCAATATTGGTACAGTTATCGAAATAATAGTTTTTCATTTTGCATGAAGGGAGGCACCACTCACTCAAACAATAGCTGAGAACGGTCCTCAAATAATGACATCCTTCTTGATACAGCAACCTGGTTTTCATAAACAGAAATCAGCGCATCACATAAAATTTTCCAACCTACACAAAGGATAAGCAGATGAGGATAAACCCAACTCACTTCAACAATCTGTGACCAGCCAGTTAACATGTGAAGCTGGGCAGCCTGCTCTTCAAGATTTTTGTTATATCGCCAAGCCCATTTCAGCAAATGATGAAATGATTCTTTTAGTCCGGCTTTCTCATTCTCGCTTAATTGTGGGTTCAATTCTTGTGACATCTAAATAACAAAAGAGCAAATTAATTAAACACAAGATCAATTTTGAAAGAAAAAATCAAACATAAAAAGGACACATAGAAATGAACACACAACCTGGAGAAGTTTTTCATGGAAAGCATCAAGATCAATCAGTCGATCACCTCTCTCTGAATAATAATATACACCACCGTTTTCAAAAGTTGCAGAGTTCCTTAGGATCTCTTCAATCTGTGCACCAAAATATAGTGAGAACTAAAAATAAAAATAAAAACCTAAGGAACTGGAAGTTTAAAGGCCATACCTTCGATTCAATTCCCAGGTTGGAAAGCAGCTGTGGATACTTCATTGAAGTGTCCGGACATCTGAACTGTAGAACCTCAAGCAAGTCCAAAACCTAAGTGCAATGTTTCAAGTGATATAAGGTTCTGGATAATGGATATGTAGATCAAATATCAAACTTGACCAGCAAATGAATGAGGTTTTAAACTCTCCTTATCTAACTAGTTTTTAAAAACCATATGTGGTGTATGGTGTGCATGTCACTGCAGATTTCAATGACCACATGAAAGCAAGCTTAATATAAGAACTAAAGAACCATGACAGTATACAGAAACATAACTTTGCACAAACAAAACTTAAAAAGGTTAAAAATCCACGAAAAAATGTATATATAAGACACGATTTATTCATCACCAAGAAAAAAAAACAGCAGACTCTTTAGTCCCAAGCAATTTGGTGCAGGCTAGAGATGAAAACTAACAAGAGACACCATTGACAAGAAACAAAAGTTTAAAAGAAAAAAACATAAAAAGGAGAGTGATAAGCTAGGTTATGTCTTGGGCACATGGATTGCTGGTTTCCATTCCACACCTCCTATGCAAGGATTCATCACCTTGAAAAAAAAGGAAATGAGGGAGTGGGGGGATAACAGATGCCTAATGTTACCTTATTCCTCTTTGCTGGTACATCGCTGATGCTAGTCAAAGCACGTGAATCGAACAAACTTGTGCTCTGGAAGTTCTCAGCACACTGACCAAAAGTATGATAAAGAATAGCCACACAGGCTTCCCTGTATACAGATGATGATATATCGGATATATGTAATGCCAGTGCTAACATCTTTAGCAACCATGCCCTCTGAAAATGAACAAATCAAGGTTTTAACAGAATGAAAAATATATGGCAGGAGACTATCAAAAGCAATAGCAGCCTAAAAACAGCCATGCACCTAAATTTTGCTGTTCAAATGCAATTTATAAATAGCAGAATTTCAATGTTTCGAATATGCAATCATGTATGACTGGAGCACTGTTACTACTGTGCCGATCCAATTGTAACCCCAGTAGTAACTACTGTGCCATTTATCAAGGATAATTCAAATTGGCATCATGAAACATTAGCAAAGGTTACATGCACACTTGCACTTCTATTAATTTCTCAGTGTCCTAAGTAATTAAGATTTTGACGAAAGAAGAAAGCTCAATGTATACCTCATGGAGCATGCTGATACGAAGAGATTGGTTACTGTTCCTTTTCGGGAGCGGTGTCACTCCGATGGTTCCAACATGCTGGCATTAGTGGGCAAGGAAAATATGAGTTCTAACTAAATGTTGTTATAATGATGCAAAAGAACAGACAAGAAATTAAACCTTAGAAAAGAACTGGTACTTCTTTGTACTCAGGAGATCCATAACAGGCCCACAAGTTAAAGGATCAAGACATAACTCATAGAGAAGCTGAATTAAGATGGAGAAAATCCAATTATAACATAAAAATAAGATGAAAATCTCACATCTGACTACTAAGCCAAAAAAATCAAACCTGAAAACTGAATTCGTGCAGTAAGGCATTTATATCTGGCTTTGTCGCTTTTCAAGATTGTCAAGGATTATCTTCAAACAACTGAGATATAACGAGGTGAGTTGAATTGAATTAATAAAATATATCACTACACAATAAAGGCAGACTCTGGAGTTAACCTGTAGTGGGATTTTGGTTTTAGAACCGTTTGCTCAATGGATCCATTGACATCAAATCCCAAGAGCAAATGTGTAATGTTTGGAGCTGGACGACAAATATTGTCAACAAGCAACTGCATATATATAATTGATTAGCATAATTAAAACACAGCCCGTTAAATGGATCTCCAAGGTCAAAGGAAATACAAATCACAACCTGCAGTATTAGAACTCCAACATCATCTTTCGTGTCTTCTATGACCTGAAAATCATCAAACCGGAACTCCAAGCAAGCAGCATAATCTTCTATTACCATTTTTCCAACATCAGCTTTCAAAAGCAACTGTACCAAACCAACTATTCTAGAACTGCCGTAAAAATAAACAAGCCGTAAGAACACAAATAAGCAAACTAGCATACTACAATTTGTTACAGAAATTTTATATATGGAATTAAAAGTAGACATTTAATAGCTAAGTGGCAGCACAAAGGAAAAACATAAGTAATTTGAATATACCTCAGGATGCCCATAATTTTGATAGAACACTGTTGAATTTGGGGAAGATAATCATATCGTACAAACTCTAGCAATGCTACAATCTGTCTATGACTTTGAGCTAATATAACATCCAATGGCTGCATAATCCCAAATGAAAGCAGAAAAACAGTTAGATGAAGTAACGACCAGGCAAAACCCCACAGTTGAGATAGAAGAAGTGCAAAACCTGGTAGAGTGGCCGAAAAATATCAGCAAGAGCCATATCTCTCTCCATGACAAGAATAAATATCTCAAGAGATAGATGGACAGCTTTCTCCAAAATGATACCGTATGTTTGGGTAGTTCGCTCATTGGTAAGAGAGTCAACACCTACTAATATGATGTTCATAATATTCCGGAAAGCAACTTTCCCACTCATGAAATCCTGAGTCAGAATTCCACAACCACAAATTATAAATAATGTACAAATAGAGGTGCAATAGAAGTATATGCAAAACTTTAGTATATCTTTAAACATACATACATACATACATGGGATAAAACATATGCCATAGAGCAAAAGGCAAACAAGCAAGCACTTATCCACCTAAGCAAAGCATATTAATTCAGGTGATCTGAAGGACATAAACATATATTTCTCTGCTAAAGTTAAAGAAAAGCTTTTCAAACAAGAACATCACCATATATATTGTGATTTGTGAACATGAAATATCAAATCAGTAGTACATTCTAGAAAGAACAATTATTTTTTAGCTCATACTACTGCTATAAAGAAAGTATACGTGGAAAGAAATCTCACAGCTCACTATTTGACTGGTGACCCTAGTTAGTGTTCTCTGGCCTACAGTTCTGAATACAGCAGACAATATGTATTTGTCTATGTTTGTTAGCAATATTCAGATAAATAGCCTTCCAAGTTCATACATAATCCTAACCATAGCACACAGCTCCACCTCTACTATGTGATCCTGAAAACATGCTAAATGCCTGTCAACACTAAAAAAGGGTGTATCCAGTGCAGAGAGCTCCCGCTCTGTACGGGGTCTGGGGAAGGGTGTTAGTGGCAAGCCTTACCCTCGCCTGTGCAATGCGAGGAGACCGCGACTCGAACCCGGGACCTTCCGGTCACAGGCGGTAAGACTCTACCGCTTGCACCAGGCCCGCCCTTCAAATGCCTGTCAACACTAGCTAAGAAATATTATAGGCACATCAAGGAGGGAATCTTCAGTAAGGAGTGTGCAACATTTGCAATGAAAAGTGTTCCAATAGCAACATGATTTTCAATCAACTTCCAAGTAGTATAAATAATCCCAGACTGAGCATCAGTAATATGTTATCAATTAGGGGAAATCAGTACATGGACATACTTTGAGTAGTTCTAGCAGAGGAAGCTGTCTCTCAATAGAGGAAGGAGCTAATGTGTTCACAGAAGCATAAATATTATCATCTTTTATGTCATACATGCTCAAAACCCTGTATAAACAATAGTCAATTAGTTACCAAGTGGACTGCTGCATTTTACGGCAAAAAATGTCTCAGGGGTTAGTAGATAAAAAAAGAAGCTATCCTGTTATAAGGGCGTATTTGCATCATCAGGGTTCACATTGCATGGTTCCCCATCCAAAAAAAAAAAAAGATAAGCAATTAGATTTTCAAACAAAAAATCATTCTACTCACATGCGGAAATGCTCCAAGCAGGCAAGTGAGAGCTCCCATTTTTCCAGGGGGTCAGCATAAGCTCTTTGAGGAAAAGGACCAAAGACATCCTCATAAACAAACTTAAAGATACCCATGAACCTGTTAGAAAAAGTATCTTACTCTCAAAGATGTTGAAGGTGAGGATATGAAACAAAAAAATCAGTTAAAAGTATGCACCTCCGGCCTTTGTCACTTATATTTCTTTCTTCTACAATAAGTGCATTGATCAATCTGAGGAAAGATATGGTTGAGGGGTAACTCTCCCTCCTCGCTTCTACTTCATTCAACTCAAACCTCATATCATAGACCTACCACCAACATAGAACGATTGGATATTGTATATTTTTCTCGAATAGATTAGAGATTATAGTAGTATTTTCCATATGAATATTAGTAGACCTTATGTTAGATTCCGCTGATAGTTGATTTTACACCAAAGATCAAACAAAAGAAAGATGACCACCTATCATTAAGGGTTTGGCCAGAATAGATTGAATTCAATTATTCCATGTATATTTATTATTGACTCATAGGTTGAACGAAAATAAATGAGCAAAAAATGAATTGAGTTGCAACATCAACAATCTTTAGTTTTTGTTTTCCAATGCATCAGATATTCAGATGGCAGGCACCAAATCCTCCGATAGAGGAAGCTGTAGATGCTTTAAGACCTAAGAAACAGGCCTTGCTTCACATAAACTAAGTGTTTCGATAGTTTTTTCATTAAAAACTAACACTAAGGACAAAAGGCAACTAGTAAAATGCATAACGGTCTGAATTTTTTTATTTTTAACCTTTTCCAATTAATAGTTTAAAATAAGGGCGTACCCAGTGCAGAGAGCTCCCGCTCTGTGCGGGGTCCGGGGAAGGGTGTTAGTGGCAAGCCTTACCCTCACCTGTACAATGCAAGGAGACCGCGACTCAAACCCGGGACCTTCCGGTCACAGGCGGTAAGACTCTACCACTTGCACCAGGCCCGCCCTTCTAATAGTTTAAAATAACCCACCTAAAAACAACATTTGCAAATCTCAACCTTTTGACCGTACCAAGTAGCTGACATGGCACCGGGCTTGTCATGCTGAAGGCTTTGACGCAACAGCGCTATCACACCAGTCCGCATGGTGTAGCATCCACACTTAAAATGCTTCTCTCCACGCGCCGCTCGTCTTCCACTCCATCTCTTCTTCCTCCTGCTATTAACGCGGCTCGCCCATGCGTGGTTCAGGAGGAAAAGAGAGAGAGAGATGGATGAAGACAAGCGGCACATCGTTTTTTTAACTGTGGCTGCCACGCCAAGTGGACTGGCACGATAGTGCTACCGCTCCAATGTGTTCCGCACAAGCCTGGCACCATGTCACCCAGTTGCACCAGCGTGGCAACATTGTCGTGCCGATGCATGCAGCGCGGCAGCGTGGTCCTGTCGCGCCACAACGCTTGGTGCTGCCAAAAGAGTTAGATTTGCAAATATATATATTTTTTGAGTGGGTTATTTTTAACATATTATTTTAAAATAAGTTTACAAAATATCGCTCCGTCTCGGGTGCAAAAACAGAGATCAAAGACTCTGTCCTCACTTTGATATTGTTTCCATATTGAGGGGGTCGAAGGCATCAACCCTCGACCCGGGAACGTCATCCCTGACCCAGGTACACGGGGTCATTTTCGACCATGCTGTGTAAAAACTTCTCGTGAGTAGCATATCACGTTCCTCGATCCCATCAACTGGGAAACTTTGTGACTATGCTCCAGGGTATCAATAAACTTTAATTGCTGCTTCCATTGCATCATTCAAGCGATGGGTACCAAGCCTTTCCTTAGAAGAAGCTGACCAGTTAAGAACCAGAACTTGCATTACCTAACCTAAGTGCTTGCTAGTTGTCATAAATAATTGGCATTCTAAGAAAGTTGTGGTTTTAGAGATTAGGTATTAAGGCAACCAAAACAAGATAGAACAAGGGAATAAACATCAAATAGTAAAATCATATAAACTGAGAAGTAGTTGAGTCTCAACTATAAAATATAAACCACAATCAATTAATCAAACATAGTAGCGTCCAGATGAGAGCACTAAGGGTAAGGGAAATGATAGACTAGAGACCTAGATGCAAGGTTGAGAGCTATATGAAACACTAAATGTGTCATTATTGAATATTATTCACAAATTCATTGTTTGTCACAACAGAGAAAAAAAAACTTTGCATACTAGGTTAATTTTCCTATATCATTGTACTTAACAAAAAATATGTGAAAAAGAAGAAAATAGGATTTTTTTTTAATACTCCGTCCGTTCACAAAATAGTGTCATTTGGGGTGGCATTCAGTCAACGTGTTTCAACTTTGACCATAAACGTTGCTTTTTAACATATCAGTTTAAATTTTTAAAACGGTATAGCTAGATTTTATCTTGAAAAAAAAATTCATAATACATTAACATTACAGATTTGATATTATCCATATGTTTTACGTAAGCAATTAGTGGTCAAAGTAATAGGTTGATGGTTGTGTAGACTGTTGAGGCCCAAAACGACACTTTTATGACTAGAGGAATTATGTTGCTTTGCTTGAGGACCTAAAAAATGAGTTAGAAAGTAGCCAGTAAAATTAGGAAATTAGTGAAATGGTGAACTTTAAGGGTACCTGTGTTGCTGTATGGTGACCTAATGGAGCCGTAACCACCGGAAGATCATATTGCTCAAGATAATTCCAAATAGCATCTTTTAGTAGGGGTGACACTTTGATAAATGCAGTTATTGAATTTCGCAAAGCCCCCTGCACATGTTTCAAGCACATATTACGAGAAAACAAAACTGCCACCTAACTAAAAAAAGAAAGGATGCCAGATGTACAGATTGACTCAAAACATAAATGCTTGTACCTTCAAGTACGGAGGCACATTTTCATAGCTGAGAAGCTTGAATAAAGGTTCAATGTCAGGGAACCACTTCTTGCGTTCCATAGGATTCCCATTTTCCACCACCTACATGTTCACAATCTAATGATTTAACTAATCAAGTAGACAATTCAAAGCAACTTCCTTTGAGAAAACAAATCACAGCAGCAACAGTAATCATTATGCATGATGAAAAGAGCACTTTATGAGACACATAGCGCATCTGGCATAACAAGCTACTTGGTAGTAGTAATTTATGGCCATTACAGCTGAGGGACCAGGAGCATATTGATTCATTGAAATTTCTACTAAGCTTCCAGAACCTCGATGCAGCTTTAAGCCTACAGAACCTCTCAAATGGGTTATAAGGATAAGCAAGACTGATATACTGAGACAACGGCTGATTAAATTTTCTGATTTTTCATTTTTCAAAGAAACATGCATAGCTGATGATGTTCAGTCACAACTACAGAACTGGAGTGTAAAAGAGATGCAGCAAAATCATGAAATCCACAACATAGGCTATGATGCCACAACTTCAGGATGATGATATAGCCATGGAAAGTGGAGGGTAATGCTAAAGGTAATATATATAGTGATTCCAAATTCATCATCGTCAGAGGTGCAAGTGCAGTTTACTGTGAACAAAGCTGACCAAGATGAACAAAACAAGTGAATAAGTGCAAGATATCTCACACCTTCTGAAGAACAGCTAAATATGCAACAAGTGCCTGTGCATCCCCCTCAGGAAAATCAGGCAGTATGTTTGCAGAAGATTGAATTGATTTTTTGAACTTCTCCTCATAGATAGATAAGCAATCAAACAAAGTGCTCCAACCCACTGAACGGTAAGTTTTTCCCTGGAGAAGCTCATAGACTTTGGCAGCACCAACTTTGGTGGAAGCCTGACAAAATTGTTCAGTCAGCGCAAACAATGGAAAACTGAACAGAGCGGTAACCATAATGCATACCAAAGTACTGAGAAGTCCAAGGAAGGCCACAAGAGTTTGTGTGTTGGTGTGGTCTTCTCCTGCATATATAACAAAGGTCCACAGTTCCTCATTTCCATTCCCTAGTTCAGGCTCTTTCTGAAGAGAAGACACACAAAAAAAAATGTTATTGCTATGTGAACTTCTCAAACCAAAACACAGTAAATAAAAAAAAGGAACATTCGAGAGATCATAAAAAATATCATGCCTTGTTGAGAACGATGGACACGCAGTTTTGCACATATAGTAGACTGAAAAAAGGCTAATCAAATAGATGTGTTCAATAGAAATGCAGTAACCTTACGAGCATCTAATGTGCTTTCAAAATATCATTACTGCTTCATGTACATTTGTAAGATCAAATCACGGGGTTCGAAGTGATGCCGAGAAAATATTCAAAATCCACAAATGAAATTGTATGATCATGCTTCTGATGGTCACAGATGGGAGCAGTTACTAGACTAGAGAGAAAATTTTAACCTTGAATCAGAAATGAGTCAAGAGTCTACAAAACAGTCAAACTAAACGTTGCATTATACTACAAAGGCCAACAGTAGTTGAAATAGATGCATCAGTTACATTTCATCACATGTCATCGTTGCATAGTAAGTGTCTGACTGCCTCGAGGGTATCCAACTCAGTAAAAGAAATATTGGTCGTGAGAAAGAGAAACAACAATCGAGCTTGGACACATGTTGCTAGAATCTGACTCGGACTCAAGTTCACAAACCGGCAAAAAGAAAAATGAACACTGGTGTCCTAGTAGCATTTGATAGTCATTCAATTTATCATTGATATAGGCCCTAGAAAGGTATTTCGAAAGGTTTTTACATCCCAAAATGACTCATGAGTGCAGAATGTTGTGTGCACATGCAAAAAGTTTTTTTTTTAAAAAAAAGTCCACTTTGCCCAGGACACAGAGAAGCAAAAAGACAGCAATGCAGGAATAATGCATGATGCATCTTTTGATTTCTACTTTTACTTTGCAACAATGCATTTGCATCTATTGCCCAGGAAGAACTAGCACTAGCTATTACCAAGTGGTCACACAAGATGACATAAATATATCATTATAAAAAAAAGACAAGATTAACACATGGGAGGACACTAGACCCATGTCAAGCTAAATCATACTTGTTTTCAGGTCCACAGATTTGATTTGACTATATAAAGGACAGAAGCATTACCTGATAGATTTCTCTAACTAGTTCCAGCAGGGATACAAAAGGCTCATTAGTAGGCTCATCAACTTGTTCCCCATTTCTACCAAGATCTTCCCGATGACCCCGCGGTGGCCCATATGGACTGAGGGCAGTCATTGCTTTCTCCTTAATTTCCTTTATCTGTCAAGAAGATAATATTATCAATTTTGCACACAGAATGAAGAAAGTTACTTGCATGTTATCCCCATCGTAGGACACTAATCATATAGTGACCACCAGAGGTTGCAAGACAGGAAAATGGATACTCCCTCCCTTTAAATATATGACACCACTGACTTTCGCACATGACGTTTGACCATTTGTCTTTTAGGAAAAAAACTATGTAAGTATTATTTATTTTGTTGTGAGTTGTGACTTGTTATATCACTAAAGATACTGCCAGCATGACTTATATTCTTGCATATTTGCAATAAATATTTCAATAAGACGAATGGTCAAAGCTTCTGTGAAAAAGCCAACAGTGTCATATATGTTTACAAACGGAGGGAGTATTCTACTAGGGTTTTTTCCTCAAACAAGAGTATTCTACTAGGTTACTATATGCTTCAATGAAGTACTCCTCTAACCTTATCTCTAGAAGTAGGGTGGGAAATAAAGCACATCATTAGCTTGTGAGTGTAGCCAGTGTACATGTAGACAATGTCCTCATCATCATTCTGCATTAGATGAGAAGAAATAATGATGACCAAGAAAAGATACTGTACTATATTATCTAAATAAAACATGTTTGATTGGAAACAAACTTTGACCACTAAGGCACTAATACATGAGAATTATCAACACTGGCGACAAGAAATACTAACTCCTCTTTCGGTGGAACCAATCTATGATTCTACATATATCAGTGGACAAAGCTTTGATAACGGACGTAAATACAATAGTAGCATGATCAAATTCAAAAATGAGCATGTTCTGTTGCCATTACAAAGGGTCAGGATAAAATGAAACAATTTTTTGGTTGGTTGGTTGGGTCACTCTGCCGGCCTGCCCTATGGAGACGTTAGGTTGGCTGCACCAAGACGAGACACATAATACATGGAAACAAGGCATTGCCATGGTGTTCATTTACAGAAGGATACTCTACTAGCCTACCTTATCTGCTTTAAGATATACTAATATCATATAATATGCACTAATCATGTTTGGCAGAACCTGCTCCCCATATAAGGCCGACTTGCACGGTTCCCATGGGCTTGGATTTCAAGAGAGCAAGGATTTCAAATTGAGGAAAGATTATGACTGGAATGAAGCTAGAAACAACAACAAAAAACCTAATGGAACCAACAGAAGTCAACTAGATAAAGATGGAATTTTTTTAATTTGCTTCTAGTATGTCACAATGCAAATCAAACTAATACAATTGGTAGAGACAACAGATAAAAATGACAAACAAAGGGGAAACATACAGAGAAATTTACTGGGGCAAGATTATGCAAACACATTAGAATATAATGCGTGGAGGACACGAAACATTTCAAAAAAAAAATTAAAAAAATATATTTGCACAACCCTTAGGACCATGGTTAGCTGGACAAGTGGACATACGGTGGAATGAGACTGCATTGGAATCCAGATTTGGTATAAGACTGCATTGAAACCCAGATTTGCTATACCTGGTATGCAGCTGTTTTCAAAACTTGCTCCCGCAAAAACTCAAAAGAATTTTGACGACAGATAATTTCAAGACATGACCAAATATCTGACATTTCTCTTGAATTACTTCGATCTTGAGTTAGCATCAAATGAACAGACCATGCAAGTCTCACAACACCAACAAACCCTTCAATAGTCGTATTGTTACCTGTCCTCATCACCTAAAAGAAATCATAGATTGCAATGATAAAACATTTGTATGTTCGATCAAAGTATTAAACAGTGATCAGTGAAGATGCACATATCAAAGCTTACAAGTTCATGAAATTCGCGTCTAAATGAGGAATCAGACGATGACAATGATGCTTTCTCAGGAGTACTTAGGGCATCAGAAATAAAAGTTGCCACAAGAGAGAACAGAACTCCATAGGTGATCTGCAATGATAAAGTTAGTAACTTTTTGTATCAACATAGCATTATACAGATGCACACAAACAACATGTCAACAACCATCATGCCATTCCAAAGTAATTGGTTCAAACTTCAAACCTGGAGCTCCACACTACTATTTTGATTTGCTTCAGCTGCACAGTCTTTCAATATTGAAAATACATCCTTAACCTCTCTGGGGCCTAAATGAAATTGCATAAAGCATTAGTCCTTGCTTCCCATAAATTGACATGTCCAAAAGGTTATACAAGCACAGCACGAAGGCTCATGCCAATGAATGATTAACATCACCTGGTAAGCGCTAGGAAAAAAAAGTTCAATTTGATAAGAGGCAATAAGAGGCAATTTAAAATAAGTTTTAACTTACTCATTAGTTTAATAAGTGCAGAGAGAGCGAGGCAGTGGCTCAAACTTAATCTCTCTCTTGAGACAATTGCCCTTCTTTCCACAAGAGCCCCTCTGAAATCAAGCACATAACGCTCAGAGCTCGGTCGGCCAATTCCAGCTGGTTCTTCCCGGTTCAGCTCCTTTATGGAAAGTTAAATATACCTCAATCATTGTTTCTCACAAAGAAAAAGAACTAAACCTTTGAAGGTGCATTTTTAAAATGATTTTTAAGCTGTACTAGTTGCTAAGAAGTAGCTGGAATTAACTAGCTTCGGATATAGCTGCAAAGAAAATAATAAACAGACCAGGGAGAAGCCAGCACAAACCAACATAAGCCCACCAAGCTTAGTATAGAAGATCAACCCCTGCCCTTGTACACTATTTTACATGTTGTTAAGCCGTTAAACTTGAGCCCAAAGGAACCATTCTTTGAGTGCTGAGTTTACAGAATGTGGCCTTAACATCACCATGATAGTTTTTTTTTTCAAAAATGTGCCCAATTCAATTTGTTAAACAAAAATGAAAAGGCATGCAAATGGTGTATTCAAGTTTTATCAGGTCCAACCTTTACAAGGGCAATTATCCGTTGCCGAAGACCATCATTAAATAAAGGCTGGATTTGCTCCTCGATTTCAGACATCAGATCAGCATCAAGACCTTGGTCAAGTGCAACAGACTACAAAAGTCATGAAAAAAACATCAAAATCATCCTTCAAGAAAAGTTATTCCACAATTAGAATGAAAATGATTAGTATATTACTCGCAACAGAATGTACAGAGCGGTTATAAGATCCCTTCTCTCCATGTACCATAGGCCAGCTGCAAGTCTATATATTTCCAATGGCTCTCGACCATACAAAACCCACTGAAAAATCACCACATGGATGCATGTAAGATGGTCAAAAAACAGTTCAAACTTGGCTAATAACAATAGAGCAATGAACTTGAATTCTGCAAATCATACCTCTCTGTTAGCATCAACTAGCAAACGAACACACTCAATCTCATTAAGATTGAGTTCATCACTTAACTTAAGCGCCTGAAAAACACATAGATATAAATTTGAAGTCTTGAGAAAAGCAAAAGTGAAACTGCTAAATACAGTTGTCATAAATCAAAGGCATAAGTAGATCAATAGACAAAAATACAGGTCATGCTCTCATGGGGATTCGTAGAGACAAATAAAAAGACAGGTTGTGCCTCAGGGGATTCATAATTATTAAGAGCACGTGGTAAAGATTTGCGGGTGCAACCACAGGTAAGAACCCAGCTAGCACAGTAGAGTGCAGAATATATTGCACTTGTTTTATCACCGATAAATCATGTGATATACTTTTGTTGTACAACTTTAAGCGTATGATGTGAAAAGATAAAAGCCTACAGGAAAAGGTGGTAGCTTGAGCATTGCTCTCCACTTAATAATAGTAATAATGTTGCACGAGGCCAGGAATCTATAAGCATGTTCATACTTTTACTACCCGGTGTTCAAGTTAGCAACATCCTAGCATTTAATTAGCAAGGCATTGATGTGATAAACACACTATCTTCTCAATCCTTTGAGAAAAAAGAGTCATCAAGTGTTAGACTGTCAAATATGGTATTAATCCATCATATTAAGCCCAGTGCTACCAAGTACCAAAAGCCAACCTTTTCCACAGAACATTGTAGTAGAAGCCACATTCCACTATCATCCCCACTCCCCAAAAGCCAAAAAAAATTGCAGACACTAAAGTCCCAATCAAATTGTGGTATGGATGTATGATAGAATTGAAACTCAGGTTGAGCTGTTAAGTTATAATAGTCAAGGGAATTAGTGTAATCTCCTAGTCTTTTCTCTCTTGTGTCTCTCGGACTCTATATATAGTTGCCATTGGGCCTCAATACAACCATCCAATTCAGTCTCCCTTATTCGTAACATGAGCCACTAGTCCACCATAACATAAAATCCTGGCACTCATCTGTTCCAAAATGTAGGTCATTTTAGTCTTGGTCCAAGTCAATCGTATCTAAAATTCTAAATTTTACCAAGTTTACAGAAAAATATACTAATGTCTACAAAAACAATAAATGCTATCAAGACAGTTCATGCTGAATTTGACAAAAGTAATTCACTGTTGTAAATGTTAGTGCATTTTCTACACCCTTGATCAAAGTTAGAAGTTTGACTTAAGACAAAACTAAAACGGCCTACACTTCAAACGGAGGGAGAATAAGGGCCTGTTTGGATCACCTCGGAACTAGTTCGTAGAACTATTTGCTAGGTGACTAAAGTTCAGTTGATAAAGTTTAGCCCAGTGTTTTATTTGGAATTTTGGATACATGGACTAATACCAGTCCACTTTGAGCTCTCTCTTGTGCCATCTAGTGAACCAGTTGTTAGTGGAGGTATGGATTCAACTTTAGTCTAACTGTTAGTCCATCTGTTTGGATGGCCTAGGACTAAACTTTAGTGGTATCCATACAGGCCCTAACATAAGGAAAACAAACTTTACAAATGATAAAGTTCAATACTGCGATGTTCAGTACCAGACTACACAGAAACAAAATACGAAAGTAAAATATAGTTCGTCTCAACAGGAATCAGAAGTCACAGGTTTACAAATGATGAAGTTATTTTAGTTCTCTATCAGAGACTAGTTCGAATAAAGAGGTTTGCACCGTGATGTACTAGCTAAAGGATAAAGCACCATTCTCATTCAGTGCTCTAATTAAGGGAACAAGCATTCAATCCAACCTTATCATAGACATCATAATCAAGCGACATTGGCTAAATGAGTGTACACTACACCAAGTTACTGGGAAGGATGGACAGAGAGCTTACAGTCTGCACGTCTGTGTCATCAAGAGTGATGGGCGGCATGCCTGGGAGCCGCACCTCCTTGCTCTCCACCTGAGTCCGATCAGACGCCTTCGGCCCCTGTCCACACACGCCAAAAACCCAGCTTAATCAAACCGAATTCTGAGGCAGACCTAATAAATCCTAGTACAATCAAGCGAATGTCCAGCATAGGGGGTGCACCGGATAGGAGAGTAGCGTGCGGAACGCGGGGGCGGCGTCGCGGACGGCGTGGAGGAGCTCCACGCGCTGCGCCGGCGACGGCGCCGCGGAGCCCAGCAGCGCCGCCTCGATGACAGAGAGGAGCTCGCGCGGCGGAAGCGGTGCCATCGCCGGAGAACAAACCCGGTCGCCGGCCGGAATCCTAGGAGGTCGGCGGAATGGGAGGGTACGGAAGGGATTTCAAAACCCTAGTGAGCGAGCACGGGGCAGGCGGGCTTCTGGGGTTTTCTGGGGGGCTCAGTGAAACCCCTTCGGAGACCGCAGTAGGCTGTTCATCGAGACAGACGAGAAGAGCGTGGTCGTGTAGCAAAGACGCGCCGGCGGCTGTGGCATCTCCGCATCTGGGCCGTCCAGAAGTTTGGAAGGTTGGCCTGTTGGACACGCGCGGTCCAAAACGCGCTAATACCTTCCTTTCTAGCTACTCGTAATAAAAATATTTTCAATCCTGGTAATAAAACGATTCCCTAATTTACCTTTTGAAAAATAAAATAATAATCCCTCTAATACTTTTAAATAACTCCATAAAATAAACTTTGGCAAATTTCTCCTTCAGCCAGTAAATACGCAGTGTGCGTTTCACACCACATCATGTCCCAACGGCATTTCCCCTCTCACTATGTTTTCAAGTCCCTCTCCTGTGCTTCTTGTGCCCTAGCTTAGCTGCCTCCTATCCGATGGGTTGCCTGTGACCGGCAACAAGTTTGAACTTTTAGTAACCAAATATTATAAACTATTGGAGAAAAGCAAATAAACTAGCTCCCTACTCAATCTAGACACTTGGTATAATCCATGATTTGGTAAGTATTCTTTAAAGAATTTATTGGAAATGCTCTAATAGTACCACCGTTTCATGTGAAATTTCCTCGTGTCCAAAACAAGTGTTTTTTCTTAATTTACATCAATTAAGCTTTTTCATTTCCATGAAATGGCATTATCCAAGATTTTTGCGTGGTTCTTGCTTAAGGACGATCATTTTCTATCTTCTATGCCTATATAGAGAATGATTTCTCTACAAATTCGTCAAGCCCAAAGTTTTCACATGGTAACCTATAAAAGCAAATTCACCATAAATGAACAATCATGTAGCTTATTGTAGCTACACATATAATGGTAGATTAATGCATAAAATAGAATACTATAGAACAGGAATTACTTGACAGTCTTAGACCTATAGTTCATCATAAATAATATCTCGATCTCTTTTTTTTTTTATAATGGGTGTCTTGATCGAGAGATCTTGATGAATGGCAATCTTAAATAAAAGGCAGCAAACAGGGGTCCCCTGAATGCTATTAGGCCTTCCACAGCGTGGGAGTAGAGCTAGCAAGAAAATTGGGCCCCAAGACCAAAACTGGGTTCTTCAATTGTTGTAATGTGCAGAGCTGTTAGCATCGATCGCTGGTGCCGCGCCAATTTGGTGTGAGCAAGGAAGTACTCATGAAATTGTATTATATTGTTTCAACACCGGAGCAAGTTCTTTGCCCTGTTCGCTTGGCTGATAAGCCATGGCTGAAAGTACTGTTGACTGATTTGTTGTGAGAGAGAAATATTATTCGTTGGCTGAAAAAAGTATGGCTTATAAGCCAGGCGAACAGGCCGCTTGTCACGCTCCTCATTTTGTTGGCATCGATAGAAGTTGGAATCGCTACCTATAGTTGGAGGAGTGATTCCCAAATTTTATGTCTCCTCTATAAGCATCACTCAAGCTTCACGTGGTGGATTATATCCCATCACATTCCCAACAAAACATCATTACCACAGTACAAAATTATTAGTTGATCTATGCCACCTTAGTCACTAAGCAAATTCCTTATAAATATGAGGAATGCTCCAGTCATATAGAGGGGTGACTTAACAACATGATCGTAGAAGATTTCTTATAAATATGAGGAATGCTCCAGTCATATAGAGGGGTGACTTGACAACATGATCGTAGAAGATGGGTTGCTTGCTCAAACAAATGCTCCATATAAGAAAAGTACGTTACCAATCGGAAGAAGTCAAGTACATGTCAATACCAATGTTTTTAGCACTCACTTGTAAATAAATGACATATCAACCATGCAAAACCACACCGGCGATGTTGAACAAGGCGACAACACTCGCATATTGCGTGGCATCTGTTTGTCAAAGGTCGAACCATGTGTGTCCCTGGACAATGAGTAAAATATGCAAGGTCCTCAGTCATCACGTAGGGAATATGGTGACACACGAGAGCACCTACAAGGCAACAAGCACTGCATGAGCTTTGCATCGTACATGTACTGGCTAGCACCAGCCACCGGATGTATGCATGCACCGTATGCATACACCGGTGCCCAACGGCCATCTAGAATAACACATCTGGCATCTCGACAACTATAGCCTTATTAGTATAATGCTCGTACTAACGCTACGGTTTTATCTTGGAGATGCACATGAAAACAAGGAAACAACGACATTTTCGATAGTTTAAGTCACACTCAATTGTATATAACCGTGTATATTATCTGGAAAATGCTCATGCATAACAAGGCATAATAAAGTCATGTCTTGCACATTACAGCTAATTTATTTGTTGCAGTAGATTTTGAAGTTCTCCAGGGATATTATCTGTACATTCATTTGCACTGCTCTTTAAAATGTCCACTGTGAATTCCGTCCTCAGTGAATGCGACCTCTGTGAATGATAGATAATAAGTTAACTTATTAATTTGCTATATAGCCTACAAAATATACATAGAAATTATATATGCTTGCAGTGCTGATAAATGACAATCTTTCGCCGTTCCACGACTTTAGGAAGTTGTATACAAGGAAGCCAGCCAATTTTCTAGGGAAGAAGAGAGCAAGTGTTTGTTTATTGTAGATAAATCAAATGACTATTTGATAAAAAAAAAGATAAAAAATAAAATAAGTTTTTACCAGTACTGGCTTTTTAGAATCTTTTTTTTGAATTCACGACGCTAGACAAAAATATTGTCGTTCCATGCAAGATTTGCCAAACTCATGGCGAGATTGAAATGATTCAAAATATTATTCAATGTAGGTATATAGGGCATGCTTGGATCATCACTCATGTGCCATAGATTTGGAGCATGTGGATCCATAATATACACAATTTTGTTACTCGTGTCTATTATGAATAAAGTATAGTTCCTATCTCGAAAATATGGCAATATAACCTGTAAACAAACACCAAGATTGTAAGTGATAAACAAAATATAACTTTTTAAAGAAGTTTACAAAAAATATATCTTACAGTACTGCAATTTTGAATTTTGTAGTCCATATCAGGCCAGCATTCAAGCAATTTTGCTAGTTCTTTACAGTCTATCTTGTCACAACACCGGGATCTCTCCTAAACTGAGTTATGGGCGGTTGATTTTGCAAAATATAATATTATTCGATTAATTACTACAATTATATATACACATGAAGGGAACAATTATACCAACTTACAACAAATTGGAGGTCCATGAAGTGGTTTTTGTCTTTCTCCAACAATAAGGATTTGTTGTACGCAGCCATCCGAACAGCCATGTTGAAGCAATCATGATCCATCTCTGTGTTCTCATCTAAAATATCTCTAATTTTTCTGGGACTTAAAGAAATTGGGTATGGTCGTGTGCTTCGAACCCACTCTTTGCTAAAAAACAAGGACAAGGAAAAAATTACTTATTGTAGCAATTCTAGCACGGGCAATGAAAATATCTAAATTAAAACAAAACAATTTTCTTTAAAATGACTTACTCCAAAGGTTCAGCATCAGCCATCAAATGAATGTTTACGTAAATTGTAGACAATAGGTCTTCCTTGTCCATGTTATTGTACCCGACAGTAAAATAGATATGTCGTCCATATCATTGAGCATTATGACACCATCATCCAGATTATGGCTGGTCTCATTATCTTGCACATCATCCTATAACCCTCTCGCTATGTTTAATGGGGAGTTATACAAGATCGCAGGTAGCTTGAACCTAAAGTTACTTATGTCATCCTGAAAATATGAGTCCTGATATATTAACAAGTCCAAAAAATGATTATGTTTAGAAATATTCCTATGAAATTACATGGGTCACATGGTCAGATAAAGAAGCTCAGTCCAATATTCCATAAAATTAATCATCCATAAACCACAACTTACACTATACAATATTGGAAAAATAAAATATGAGTGATACAGATACCGTTGCTGGTACGACAATGGCATATACACAACAAGTTAGTTGATCCTTTACCTATCTGTCTGCACTCTTTTGATGTTCTTATGTTTTTTTTGGCCAAGATGCCACTCTGATACCCTTTACCCATTTTTTTGGTTCAGCTGTTTATGCCCTGCTGCACGTTTTATTAGTCTTTCTATTCCTATTAAGTGCTATGACCGAAACACTAAGATTTAGAAAGGGATATTAACGATTTTTTTACAAAATAGTATGTATTTGTATATATATCAATTATTAAGCCATACCGTATATTCGAGATCTTGCCATTGTGACATATTTTCTTCGAAAGAATCCAAAACATGTATCTCACCTTCTGAAGCATTGACAACCGCTATGTACCAATGAAACTTCACAATATTAATTGGAAGGAACACCTACAATAATAGAGTTTTATCTAAATTTTTTCTATATGTTTCAATCAACAAAAAAATAGCATATATTAGATCTTGTGGTCAAGCTTACCATATCAGTGTCTAAATAATTTTTGACTCATGTTTGAATCTTGTCATCTTTACTATAGTTCAATGTCGTCGCATCAGTCGCGCCGTAGCAATTGAGTAATAAATGTATTCTCATGTAAACATATCCACCTTTTCTATGAAGTAGGTGTTCTTCATGCCGCATCAATTGGATATACGCACTTATGACCTGCAATTTTTTAATTTGTCAAATAAAAAATTAGCATATTTTCTGCATGGACATCAGTTAATTAATTTAAAAACAGTGTTAAACATGCTTATAGAGCCATTGACTTGCGTATGATCATTGAAAAGGCAATCCATGTCATCTCTATCTACCCAAGCATCATCGATTCGGACGAGTAAAGTTTTCAATTGTTTTCCTTTTATGTATTCAATTACCTGAGCATCTTCTTGTGCACACTCATAATCTACATAGAAA